CACGTTAAGGTTGGGTACAACTTAAGGTCGGAACGTGTTGCCAAAAATACTATAGCACACTATGTCATAACCAAAATTCTGAATAGGTGGAAAAGCAAGTAAATACTCTAACCGCGTACTCGATACCCAACTAAGTACTTGTGGCAAAGATTGCAGTACAAAAAGTACTCAGTACTTGAAGAAAGTATCGAGTATTTACTTGTAGTTACTTGTATCGGAACAACACTAGGCATTCGTAAGTGCTCCTTAAACAAGTCGTTATTGTATCGCTCAACTGTGACTTCATAATAACCTTCATTTCTGGATATTTTCTCGCCATCTCCAAACATTGCCAAACAATGAAAAACTGATTCAAAGCGTTTTCAATGTTATCCTCAAGGAATTCCGACAGTATAATTGCTTCTTCCATTTTTCTTAATATACATAGATACAAAACACAATTTTTTCAATACAATAATTTGTTGATAATCGTTTGTGGTTGACAGCTTTTGAATTTACAAAAATTTTGACAGCTAATCTATCAGTACGTTCAGAAGGCGCATAACATTTCGCCGACTGATTACTGATTTTTTAACAACAGTTGCGATCAACTGTTGCGCCTTCTGAACTTGCCCACTGGCTATGAAAACATGAATTTTGAAAACTCAAAATATCTTATCCAATTTCAATTTTAGTTTATTTCAATAGTAAACATTAGTATAATAAGGTGAATTCAATAAATAAATAAAAAATCCGCCATATTGGACCCGCCATTCAGAATATTATAAATGCATGACCAGATTCATAGTCAGCGACCCTCAAAACCCCGAGTAACAGATATCAAGTAATCCAATTATTTTTAAAATTTGTGTTCGCAATTTTGGATACGAATTTCGAAAATCCCAACTGATTATTTAAAATTAAGCATTTTTTTGTGAACAAATTTGGGGTGAGGATGAATGAATTATGAGGAATTTATCTGCCATATTGGACCCGCCATTTAGAATATTAAAAATTCAATCCTTTTCAATACCTTGTCTGCCTTGTTGGATTTGCCACTCATAAATTAAAAGTTAGCATTTTTACCGAATTTTCAATCTGCGAAACAACAGCTATAACTACTACCATGTGTAAATTGCTGTTGTTTTTCCGCAACCTTTTTTCATTAGAAACGGCCTTAAGCGGAATAAAATTGTTGGAAAAAATTTTCAAGACTATAACCTATTTTCTTACCTGAATAAATGTTGGAGAGTGGATGAAATGTTGTTCACATGAGGCGATTTTCCAGGCAATTTTGGAGGCGATAAGTTGAATCAAAAGTTAGCTACCGCCCAACTTCATTGGAAGCGTTCACGCCAGGCGATTCTTGCATTCAACTAAAAGTTGCCTGTAAAATCTCCTCATGTAAACATCGTATTACACAAGTACATACATACATATGTGAAGTATTTACGAGCGAAGTTAACGCCAAAAATGCACAAATGGAATAATTAAAGAATTTTCGCTTTACTGCTTTTGTTTAGAACTTTGAACAAATACACACAGAAGCATACAGCCACCAGTAGCTCACTAGAACCATGTAACGCACATTTGTACATAGCAATTTTAAAAGCGGCTGCTGTGGCTGCCACTCCGTGGAAACTCGATTCGGTCACTGGTCCGAGCAAGATCTAAATTAGAAACAACGCTTGTCTAACAACGGCCGGCCCTCTGCCATGAACAAAACAGCTTCTCGTAAAATCCATTTGCTGTTCGAAGGCGGCGTAAAACTGTAGAGTCCTCTATTTGTGTAACAACATCAAGACATTTGTGTAAGAACACCAATTCGAGGATAAGTTCGGCCAAGCACTTAGTAAAAGTGGAAGTGCCAAAATGGTAATTTTATTATTATTATAATACTCTTGCTCTATAGAATAAATACAAGTATTTATATACATATGTACTAGGGATGCGTATGCGGATGTTTAAAAGCTAATATCCGCGGCTGCGAATGCGGATGTCAAATATTTTTAAGAAATAATTTTGGTGAGTACATTAGGTGATTTAGGTAAATAAAAAATGGAAAAGTTACTAAATTTAATGTTTTCTTTTTTTAGTACTTCAATTAAAAAATTGGAACATTGTATTTAAGAAAGATTAATTTTGCTGCCTTTTCCGGTTACAGCCTGATTCCTAACGGGTCGTAAATCAAACCTGCGCAACTAAATACTATTCGCTCGAGGCGGCAAGCTTGAAACTTGACAAAATTGTAAATTCTTTTCGATTGACGCTGCACCAGTTGAGAGGACTTTCAGTTATGTTTCTTTTTTTATTGCGGTGCAACAGTTCCTTTTTGGGAATTGCATCGGGGCTGCAAATGTCGGATGTATCCTCCTGACTTTCATCTTCACAATCTAGCATCATGGCGAAATCGTTGTTTAAACACCGTTGTGTTCCAATTCGGAGCATCAAGGCATTTGATTGTTTCAGAATTTGGAGAACCTGTTTCGTCATCAGCGTTTTTCGATTTCAGTTTTTGTACTTCATTTTTAATCCTTCTGTGACTGGTTTGAAAAATGTGCGCTTATAGCGAGGTTGTGCACATGTAGGTGGATATGGCAAATAAATTTTAGTGTCTAGGAATGAAAATTTCGAAGAAAATTCTGTTTTGAAAGTCGTGGCTGCCAGTAGAAATAGTTTAAAATCTTATTATTTTGTTAAAAAGGTACCCCTTTTTTATAATAATTTGAATTATGGAATCACGGACGATAAAGGTCTCAGATTTGCTTAGTTCTCGGATGACTCCTTGGAAAGGTTCGCCTGTAATGAGTGTAATGTAATTAGTTTTTTTTTTTTATTAGCCATAAGCTATCAAATCTTTTTTGTTGTTCCATTCCATGCGCTCAATGTGTTTTGATATATTTTTTGAGGCGAATGAACGCAAATTTCCCACATATATATCGCTAATACTATTTTAAGAGGGCTTATTTCACATTGTTGCTGAAATCCAAAAAACCACAACTAACTAAATTTTTGTATTGCCTAAAACGATGTGGGGACTTATGATTCGATGAAATGCATCATAATCAATCAAAAAGTTAATTTTGGATTTTTAGTTAGTTACGGCTTTTTGTATTTCAGCTACGATGTGAGTTAAGCCCTTTCCATACTATACTAACCATATATTACATGCCATGTCTCACGCCTCAATAGATATAAAATTCACCTTGAATTAGTTCTTATTTAATTTGCGAACTTGGCTGTCGACTTATTTACATACCATTTTATCTTTATTTCGATGCGTGCTAATTTTGAAAATTTACACAAAATTAAAATAAATTAATAATAATAAATAATAATTAATAATAATAATAAATTTTTGTTTTCGAGCTGAAAGACTAATAGAAGGAAACACGGAACTTAAGAATAATAAGTTTTATGAGGAAAAAAATAATTACATTAAGAAAAAGTAGAAAACAACTAGAGATGTATTCAGTTTTTTCAACAGACCTTTGACAAATAATATTCGATTCTCTTTATAGCCAGCCGTTGAACATTTCCGCTGGAAATACCTACTATTATCTTGCGCTTTGACTTTAAACTACGAAAGAGGGTGGACGTAGGGGACAGTCTTACCGTAGCATCTCTACAGACAAAAAATATTGGCTAAAATTTTTGTTTTCCAGATATACGTTTTAACAATGCACTTGTACAATATTCGCATTCGCAAAAGCTCCGCATTGATTAATGCAAGCGAATGAGAATGTCATAATTTATGCGGAAATTCCGCGGTTGCGAATGCGAATGCGAATATTCGCAACAACCCTAATATGTACATATGTATATGCATTCATAAAATCATTTTCATTTATTCTGGTATTACAGTGAATGGAATATTATACATTTGTACATATGCATTTATGTGAAGTTGAATATTATACAAAACATTAAAGATTTGAGTACATAAGTATGTACATATACGAATTTGAAGAAAGCAGGTAGCAACCCTATTTAAAAAAATTAAGTCTCATTGCACACTTATTGTCCAAGCCCTTTCATTTGAAATCTTATGTTTTTAATACAATGAACGATGTGGATCTTATAAATTTTTAGACAGGCGGCAACTCTATTCAAAAAAATAAAAGCTTATTGCAGATCTGTAGAGCAAGTGGAATTGAATTGAATATAGTATTTTTTTAACAGGTGCATCCCTACTCAAAAAATAAAACATTAATGTTTATCTAGTGGCCAATTCCTTTAATTTAACACCTCATTATTTGTAATCCAGCGAACGGTACAGATCTTATAATTTTTTAGACGGGCTGCAACGTTATCGTAATTCGAAATACCAAAGGTCCCTCTCCTATCGATACAGATTATAGTAGAGGAAATGTTGTCCAAATCCGTTCAGTAGTTTTCGAGATTAGCGTGTTCAAAGAATCTCGACTTTCCTTTATACTATTAATACTAGATGTTATTTTTCCAAAATTAGTCTGCCGGGTCTGGTTCCCGAGACTCTTCAAATATATTATGCTTGCGAGTTTCCATTGTTTATATAACTACTTAGTCTTTCCTGTCAATAATCTCTTGTTTACCTGACAAATTGGTAGTTTCCAATTTATAGCAACTATGCATACAATGCATTTCTGCCATATATTTTGCGATGTTAGATCAAGAAGCCCAACTTGTTTGCATGAAAATGTCCCGAATTCAGCGATCTCTAAACACAAAAGCCTATTCGCATTCTTACATTTCCGCATTTAGGCTTAGCCATTAAAACCCTGAAGAGAAGAAATTTTTAATACTCCAACAGACACAATGCACAGACACCATTAATTTTTATTTTGTATGCCACCGTTTCCAGTAAGCCGGGTGCGGCTGTGTAAACAAACCCGTGCTCTTGTGCAAATATTTATGAATTCGTTAAGCTTTGTGAAATAATATATATTTACATAATGCCTAATAGTTACGCGAGTTGTCTCAGTTAAAAACAATTAACAATTAAAAATAATCGTTATCGCAAAGAATTTCGCAGTGAAGCACTGGCTTTTCAAGTAGACGCATCGATTTTCAACCATACAAATAAACGCCTATTTAACAGTTTACAATGCAGTTGCAGTTCGCGGTCCTCGCCCTCTTGACGGCATCTTTTGTGATCGTTTTCGCCGCGAACTACTGTGATGAATCCTTGTGCGGCTCGACAAAACATATAGCGTGTAATAACGCAGGGGTAAGCTCCACTACAACAACAATGAACTAAATAAATAATCCAGTGGATACATGTGTATATATGTACATTAGACTGCATCACCCCCCATACAAAAAAAAATCGGTTCTGTGTTTCTATTGGAATTATAAAATCTATTATATTTTAAGATTTTCACCAAAATATTTCGAAAAAATATTAAGATTTACGTGAGCTGGACCTATTTTAAAATACCTCCAAAATGGAGTTTTTCATGAGGAGAAATAGTTAATTAAAGATTTTTTTGAAAAAAAAACCCTCAAATGACAAAACAGCTTAAGCTTAACAATTTGCATGAAAATATTTTTAAAAAAATCGTAAAAAAAAACGAAATCGTAATAAGGAAATTTTGTATGCTTTGTATTATGTTTTTTTTTTTAAAGATTGGTATATGAAAATCTTTAATAACTGACCCTAAACTATTCCAAATTAGACTTGTAAGGTATCATTAGAAAGGTATTTTCTTACTTTCTTATCTTATTATTACGATTCCGTTGAAAAGATTTTTAAATATTTATATGCAGATATTTTAAGCTTACTCTGTTTTATCATCTGAGGGGATTTTTTCCAAAAAGTTCTTGAAGAAACTACTTATTCATAAAATAGTGGATTTTTAGAGGTGTAGGAGTCGATAAGGTTTAGGAGTACGTGTGCTTTTACTTAAGAATCTAGCTTTAAGTCATAGTTTAAGTAACTTGTTTGTAGTTACAGTGAATATTAGTTGGCAACCCTAGCTTTAAGACAAGTAGCGATTAAGACTCGTTGTAACTAGCGATTAAGACTCGTTGTAAAGGACACGCCATTTTAAAAAATAAAAGAGATTCATTCGATTTTTGCCAGCGAAGACTTCGGACGTTCATTTTATTTTGATCACTTTGCCTTCTGCATATTTTA